AGGCTCAGGCCTCAGTATCAAAAGGTTGCAAGGGATGTTGAGGTTTTCCACTTGAGGCGGGGGACCGCCCATGCTCAGCTTCTATCGCCTGCTTCTGCTCAGCTGGGTGGAAGGAGCAGCGCCTCCTGCTGGTCAGAGGGATGTACAGCGGGGGGGGAATAGCCAGACACACCCCTGCTCCCCCACCTCCCAAACAGCACCTCACAGCCATGTTTGCTTTCTGTTACTAATGCAGGAGTGGCCGAAAAACTTTTGGTGGAAAAATCCAAAAAGGGTGGGGGCAGGGGGGGTCTGTTATAGAACTAACAGTTCACTGGCCTTCAATTATGGTCTAAATCAGCTGCCTGAAGCAGTCCCTTCCCTGCTTGTCTGGATGGGGAAAGCACACATCCCTGTTAAAACAAGAGATCAAACCATGCATGCACACGCATACACATGCATGTGTCTTACAGGTGGATGTCGTCTGCAAAATCCTGGGGCCCACCTTGCTTTCTCCAGTGTTGCTTCCTTGCAGGAAAAGGGGGATGGTTGTCAGAAGAGTTCCTGTAATTTACTGATAGATGTTATTCATGTCTCATCTTTCTTCCGAGGAATTCAGGATGGTGAACATAGCCCCCCTCCCCTCATTTTATCCTCACAGCAATCCAGGGTGAAATGCAGAGGGTGCAACTGGCATCCCGTGTGGTGATGTTGCTTCCAGTCTGACCTGGAAATAAACTGTGCCCAGTGACTCCTTAGCATTTGCCCCAAACTCTATGGTCAAATCATAGAATTTTGGGTGAATGCTAGAGCGTCGATCCCCCATATACCTGATGACACGCTAGCATTTGCCAAAACTCTGTGGTTAAACCATAGAGTTTGGGACAGATGCTAGAGTGTCAGCCAGGGGTCATTTCGTAGAAAAAGAGCTAGGGGAACTCATTAGCATAACTCATTAGCATATGCCACACCCCCTGACATCACCGGAAGTGTGTCATAAGGCCACAGCCCCTGACATCACCGGAAGTGTGTCATAAGGCCACACACCCTGCCCCCAACGGTCCCGGCCGCCACCGCCGGCCTTGCAGCTCCACTACCGAGCCCCATGAGGGGCCCGGCTGTGGACCTGCAAGGCCAGCGAGAGTGCAAGGAAGCCCCGCGAAGGCCCTCCCTGGCCCCAGGCAGGCAGGGGTGGGGAGAGGCAGGGAGGAAGCAACTTACCCTCCCTCTTATCCTGCCTCCTCCTGGCTGAATGAGGGCCGGAAGCGGGGCGGCCGGAAGCAGGGGGCGGGGCTTCGTCATGTGCCCCGCCCCCGTACCTCACCCGGGGGAACTGTGTTCCCCCGCGTTCCCCCCCGAAATGACCTCTGGTGTCAGCCCTCCTCCCCTACACACACATGGCTTCATTGCCAGGTCATGCCGGAAGTGATGTCATTGCAATGGGGATGCCTACCACACGCCCCCATCTTCCACCAGATGCAGGAAGGGTTGCCAGCTCCAGCTCGGGAAATTCCTGGGGATATGGGTCAGATATGGAGATATGGGTCAGTGCCTGGGAAGACAGAGTGTGTGGAGAGGAGGGAGCTCCGCGGAGAATTGATGCCACTCTTAGACTCCTATCTCCTAGGCGCTCTGGTATCCTATAGTATACTGATCTCTCTAGTCTGGAACTGATCTGTCTAGTCTGGACAGCAGTAGTAATTCCAGGAGAACTCCAGGTCCTATCTGGAGGTTGGCAGCCCTAGTTGCATGTGGGGGAAAGACCTCCATTTGAGACCTTGGAGAGCTGCTGCCTATCAGGACAGACAACCTCTGAGCTTCATTGGTATCAGATCTGATGGGGTTTATAAACATACATTCAGACTTTAGATGTTAGAGTTACAGTTTGCTTGTAAATAAATGTAAAATGTAGTAGTAATAATAATAATAATAATAACAATAAATATATATAAAATTGAATCATACAAGCAAGCTATAACTTGAACCCTGAAAAATTGTCTGAGTTACAATGTGCTTGTAAACGACTGTAACATAATAATTGTGCAATCTGTACGCTAATTGTGCAACACAAGCAAACTGTAACGCTGACATTCAAAAAGTGAGTTTCTTTTGTGATAATACGACAGAAGAAATCCATATTTTGAACGTTTGAGTTTCCATCTGCTTGGAAATGCCTCTGAAAGAACCACTATTGTTACTTTTTTGTCCTCAGCCTGGAAGCAGACCAGCCCTCAAGCAGGCTGGGTCCTTCTTGGCCACTCAGTCTGATCCCGGAACCCCAGGAAAGCTGGTTTCTCGACCCTCCAGCCACTGGAATACCCAGCACCAGCTGCTTCTCTGAAAATGTCAATACCATGACTAGCTAAGCATGGAGACACACAATCCTCCAGTCATCTGGGGGCTATCTGTTTGAGCAAATATTTCCCAACTTTGGATCCAGCTCGGCACAGTCCTTCCTTGGGTATAGGCATACCCACGTTGACATCAACACTGCAGTGAGGTAGAGTTGTTCCCAGTAACCACAAATTTAAATATCCTTATATCCAGATCTATAGGTAAAAATGCCTCTTCTAGACAAAGCAGCTGAACTGGAGCGAAATCTTGGAACTGGAGATTTTTAACCCACTGGGAGATTTGTAACACCAGATCTTTTCAGTTATGCACACACCTAAAGAAACAGCTTTGGTGGCTCAAGTGGTTAAGACACTGAACTGCAGGCTGTGGAAGGTCAGTAGTTCAGCAGTTCGAGACCCGGGTGCCGCATGATGGAGTGAGCTCCAGTCTCTAGTTCCAGCTCCTGCCAACCTAGCAGTTTGAAAGCAAGAAATTGCAAGTAGATAAATAGGTACCACTTTGGTGGGAAGGTGACAGCATTCCGTGCACCTTGGTGTTTAGTCATGCCGGCCACATGACCACGGAAACGTCTTCAGACAGCACTGGCTCTTCGGCTTTGAAATGGAGATGAGCACCGCAACCCTAGAGTCGGATCCAACTGGCTTTCGAGCAAGGGAACCTTTACCTTTACTAAAGAAACAGCAAACAAACGGGGTTGAGAAGTTAACAAGACAAAGTGGTTGATTACCCAAGGGAAACTGAAAAAACTCTGAATCAAGGACAAGCTGGATTTAGGGGAGTGAGCCAATTTG